ACAGTATGAATGTGTGGCGGTGGTCCTGGTCGCATCACTCTATTGCGCGTGTCCGCCGAGAAGGGCAACTTCCAGTTCCTCAACCTCCACCTCGATCCTGAGTGGGGCACCAATGAGCTCAGCTATGTGTTTTTGAAGATCAAGAAAGTGCTCGGGAAGCCAGATGTTGCCACGACCTTCGTTTTCGGTGACTTTAACTTCTTGGAGGTCGGGGAGTCCAGGGTCAATGCAAACGCGGGCCTTGATGGGCCCAGCAAGAGCCGTCTGGCCTCGATGTTCTCGTCTGTGTTTCCGTATTTAGCTGAGGTTTCCCAGGAAGATGATACTCACCGTCTTCTGCGTGATGGAATGTGGTCGCACGGTCGATTAGACCGCCTTCACTGTTCACTGCCCACTCAGGACATCCTCGACATGTGCCCGAGAACGGGTGTCGTCTGGCCTGCCTCCGATTTGCCAAACCCTCGGATCACGTCCCTGTGTTTCTGAAGCTGGAGCCTTGGAGACCCCAGGGTCCGACCCCGATTCCAGTTTGGGTGGCCAACCATCGCGTGTTTCAGGAAGTGGTCCAGGACCTTATCGTGCCGGAGGAGTTAGGCCAGAACCTAGACGAGCAGTTGCAGGGCATCAGAGATGCATTCTAATACGCTGCTGGGCGCGTTAAGGCCCATATCGCCAATCCAGGAGCCGAGTCGCTTGAGGAACGAGTATCTTGTTGCTTAAAATTGGCTCGGGCCGCTCGTGGAGGGCGCTTTCATAGTGCCAAGAAAGCGATCTCTGGTTATTCTGCCTTGGGTAAGTTTTATGATTTGGAGTTGAATATTTGGGTGGACCGCGGGGCTTACGATGTGCACCTTGGGAGTTTGATGAGAGATGTATGTTCCAAGCGTGAAGCGGCGCTCTGCTCAAGTATTGAGAAGTCTAAGGCGGACATCGCCGAGGCCGAGTGCTCTGCTGCTGTACAGCGCATTCGCGATATGTCTCGTGCCTGGAGGTCTTGTGGCCGCAGGATTTGTTTACATCAGGTCACGGACGTTGATGGCCAGCATTACTCTGATGGGCGGAGGTGCGCCGAGATTCTTGCTATGTACTGGGAGTCAGTCTTCCAAGATGTTCAGGCTAGCGATGAAAGCGTTGAGGACTTATTTTCCGAGATCATCCCGATCCCCTCCCACCCGTTCCACTACCAAGGCAGGGATTTAGCGTTGTATCCTTGGGTGGTCCCCGAAAGCAAGTTTCAGGATATTCTCCTTTGGAAGAAAAACACCGCCCCTGGGCCTGATTGAGTTCCCTATGCCGCCTGAAAAGCTGCTGGTGATTCCGCTCAGCATATCCTGTACGAAATCTACTTGAGGATGATGCAGACTGGGTGCCTCCCTCCTGATTTAAATTTTGCGAGAGGTGTATTTCTGCCTAAAGACTGTCCAGGCGGTATCGATGCGGCTGCTCGTGCGCCAGCTTGCACGAGGCCCCTGTCGTTATCGAACTTTGACAACAAGATAGTCACCAGCTGCGTCGGCTTTGCGGTCTCAGAGGTTGTGAAGGACACCGCTGAGGTTTGCCAGAAAGGTTTCGTCAAAGGCCGCCAGCTTCTGGACAATGTGTTTTCCCTGGACGCCGCTTTCCTGAAGCGGGCCATGATGGGCGTTTTCCCTCGGATCGGTTCGGCGCTTTTTGATGTGAAAAATGCTTCCCCCAGTGTCATTCACAAATATATTTGGGCTGTCTTACGGCGTGCGAATCTCCCTGGGATTGTTTGTCGGGCTATCAAGTCGTTATATTCGGATATGAGTAGGAGTATTGGCACCCATGGTTGCGAGCCTGTATATATTGCGGTGAGAAGGGGTGTTAAACCAGGCTGTCCGATTTCTGGATTAATCTTCTGTCTGTGTATAAATCCGATGTTGACGAGAATCCGTAAAAGATGTTCGAGTTTGCCCATCGAGATGGGGGCCTTCGCGGACGACATAGGCATTTGCTGTCGTGACGTGCTTCAGGGCCTTCCGACAATATTGAGGGTGCGCTCCGACGGTGGCAAAGCGTCTGGCCTTCTTTTGAACTTGGCCAAGTGCGTGCTGGTGATTCCCTCACCAGCCTTTCGTGAATCTGTAGTTGATGACCTTCAGAGAGTGGGTGTGAACATTCGCCAATTTAAGATCCTCAAGAATGGGAAAATATTTGGGTGTGTACCTGGGCATCCAGGGAAGGGAGGGGAGTTGGACGCAAGTGATTACTACCTTGGGGAGGCGGACGCTGCAGGTGAAGCAGATGGGGGGAGGCTTTTCGCTTAGCGTCTCCGCATGCAACATTTACGCCTTGCCCGTCGTGAGCCACGTGTCGCAAGTCTGGGGCCCCCCCAAATCTGTTCGCCTCGCGGAAAAGAACATTCTCCAGAGGCTCACCTGCTCTCCGAGGTTTGCCTTCCCTCCTGATACCTTGCATCAGCTCAGAGATTTGGGCCACCGTGTGGAGGCGCGGAGACTGGAAGTCTATGCCCGCGCGTGCATGCTGCGTGCCGCCACCAACCCTGACAAGTTCCATGAACTGAAAAAACGAGTAACAGGAGTTTGCAGACTCGGACGAGGCTGTGATTGCATGGAGGTGTAGCCCCTATGCGAAGGAGTCCCTATATCTACGGATCTGGGCCTGTATAATCAGTTCTTCCAGATTCACCGCCCATTGGACTGCGAGCCCAAAGCTGTCCAGGCCAAGGTGACCAAGTTGTTACTTATGAATCGACGGCGTGAATTTCCGAGTATCCAGGATGTTATTTTCCCAAGGTTCAAAACATGGGTCCCTGATATTATGGCAGCCGATGCGTTCTTGACGATTATCCGTATTGGTGTTGCTGGTCCCAAACTTCCTGGATATATATATATATATATGTATATATATATATATTATCTGCTTGTTTGAAAACTATATTTAATGGATGGAATACCACTCGTCGGTACAGACAGGCGGCGCAAGTCTGTGGCTTCGGCTGTTACGCCGTGAACGGGGACGACCTACTCCATTATTCGATTTGCCCTGTTTTGGTCCAGAGTATTCGGTGTGTTCTTCCTTGGCTTCCTGAATGTTGGGGGGATCGGCCTCTGAGTTCCATCCTCCCCCATCTCTTCCTCGCTCCGTCCCGTGAGTGTTTGCTGTCACAATTTGTTGCGGTGGATCTTATGCATAATTGTTTCCAGATTTTTCTGGCTTCTCCCTCTGTCTGTATCACTCCTGCGTATACCTCTTCCTTAGTTAAGGCCAGATTGCGTGTTGGTGCAAGGCGGAGCAAAGTCATTCAGGCCCTGGGCCGGGGTGAATTGATTTCCTAGGGCTGTGGCCTTGCTTGTTTAGTCCAGTTGAACTTGCAGGTTCATAAATTGTCTCGGCACTCTGGTAGGTCAGGGTGTCGATCGAATCTCCCTTGCGCGCGGCGGCGGCCGCCGTCACCGTGGTGATCACGGTGGTCGCCGAGGACCGCCCCGCGCGCGTGCTCTGGGTGCTGGACGTCGGACCTCTCTCTCCCCCCTCTTCGGTGGGTGCGCCTCCTCCTCGTCCTCCGCCTCCTCCTCCTCCTCCTCCTCCTCATCCTCATCCTCTTATGATTCCTCCTCCTCTTCCTCCTCCTCCCCCCTTCCTCCCCTTCCTCTCCCTCGCCATCCTCATCCTCATCCCCATCCTCATCCTCCTCCTCTTCTTCCTCCTCTTCCTCCTAATCCCCTCCTCCTCCTCCTCCTCCTCCTCTTCCTCTTACTCCTCTTCATCCTTTTCCTCCTCCTCGTCCTCGTCGTCCTCCTCGTCCTCCTCCTCCTCCTCCTCGTCCTTTCCTCCTCCTCCTCCTCCTCCTCCTCATCCTCCTCCTTTTCCTCCTCCTCTCCTCCTCCTCCTCCTCCTCCTCCTCCCCCTCCTCCCCTTCCCCACTTTCCTCGTCATCCCCATCCTCCTCCCCTCGTCCTCCTCTCCTCCTCGTACTTCTCCTCCTCCCCCTCCTCCTCCTCCTCCTCCTCCTCCTCTTCCTCCCCCTCCTCCTCCTCCTCCCCTTCGTCGTCGTCCTCCTCCTCCTCATCGTCTTTCTCCTCCCCCTTCTCCCCAAATCGTTTTCGATCTACGTAATGTTGTCCCTGTCGCCCCCCTGGGCCAGTTTTCAGGGCGGGCGCGGCGTGTAGCTTGAGGCTTCCTCATCACTTATGACCATGAAACTCAAACATTGTCAACAGCTTCACAGATGGAGGGCGGGTCGTTTCCAAAATGTGGCTCTCGCCTTAGCGCCGATCACACTCGTTTTAACGAGGTTCCAGAGCTTCGCGGCTTGAGGGCGGCCCGGTTTCAAAATGTGGCTCTCGCCTCAGCGCCGCGCACGCTCGTTAAAACATGCAACAGCTTACGGAGTGAGGGTTGTTCCTTTTCAACATGTGACTCTGGCCCTGGCGCTGCGCAGATTCGTGATTGAAGTTGCAAGAGTTTCACGGAATGAGGGCGGTTTCTTTTCAACGTGTGTTTATCGCCTCTGCGCCGCGCACCTTCGTTTTTCTAAATTCACAAGAGTTGTACGGATTCCAGTTATCAGCGTACCAGGCATTGTGATTTGGAAGGATTTTGGATTCTGTAGGCGCAATAGTTACAGTGATTCGCGAGGTTGAAGTCCAACGAACGGCGTTCTGGCACGAGTCAGGACCGTGAAAAGACAACCGTCAGGTTGATGCGCGACGTTGGAATCCCGAGAACCATGACTTGGCATGTTTCAGAGTCTTCAAACGGCTGTCTTCGTCTTCCAACGAGGCAGTTCTCGCAGAGGACATGAACCGTTCTAGGGGCCTATGAAGAGAGAGTTTGGAAGGAGCGTTTATTCCAACACTCCTCCTCCTCCCCTCCTGCTCCTGCTTCTCCTCCTCATTACCCTGCTACTTTTTACTACGCTGTGGACAAACATGAGCATCAAGGCTGTTGCGTGCCTCCTCCTCCTCCTCCTTTTCCTTCTCCTTCTCCTCCTCCTCCTCCCCTCCTCCCCGCAGGCACCCCGGGCTACAAGGTGCAGACGCCTGGATCCAGGGGCACCGCGTAGCGGCGCCCTCTCGGCCCGGCTCGCCCGGGCGCGCCTGCTCTGGCGGCCCCGGGGCGTTGGTGGCGCGCCCCCCCACGCCTAGGCCTCGCCGATCGAGGCGTGCCCAGATCACGCTGGCTCGCCATGTAGGAAACTTGGGGTCGGCCAAGAGTGGGGTGATGACGGTGTGGGTAGATATAATGGCCAGGGCCATGGAACCCTGGATTTCGCGGCTCCCTTCGGTTTGTTTCCATGCGTCCCTTGGCCCCCGCCCCCTGCCATGGAGGTGGGTCCTGGGGAGAACGGGTCTTGGAGCGCTTCGCCATCTTAGGCCTTAATTGGCCCTCTTCTCGGCCCTCCATGGGCCCTCGCCGATGGAGACGGACCCAGGCCCCCCTGATCCTGCTCCATGCTTCCCCAAATGGGCTGGAGTAGATGGGGTCGGAGGATCTCGCCACGTCGCCGACGTCGCCGACGTCGCTGATGCATCGCCGACGTCGCCGATGCATCGGCAATGCATCGGCGACGTCGGCGCGCCTGGGGGGTGGATATCATGGCTGGCGCCATGAAATCTCCCTGGATGTTGCGCCTTCGTTTGTTTATTTCAATGCGTCTGTCCTCGTCCACGCACATGCCTGCGACCATGATTTGCGAGCACCCCTCTTGGACGCCCCCGAGAAACGGGTCATGAAGGGAACGGTTCCTGAGCTGTTTCCCCGCATGTTTCGTGGGGTTATGGTTTTCCGCGTCGCACCCGCGTCCACGTACAGCCGCACGCATGCACACACACACACACACACCATACAACGCCAGTGCGTGCCTGGCGTGTCGACTGTATCATAAATCAAGACGTATGCGCCACATACTGGGCATCCACATGATACGCACGTCCACATACAGCCGTACACGCATCATAGGTCACCCACATTGGGACACGCGTCCACATACAGCCGCACAAACATCATACACGTGCACAAGGCACGCACGACACAAGACACGCATGCAGACACACGCGTACACACAGTATATACCACGCCAGTGCACGCCTGGCGTGTTCACTGCATCACACACCCAAGACGTATGCGCCCGTCTTCTAGGCACAGCAGGCGTGGTACTTTCTCGACACCATAGGGGGGGTGCAGGGGGTGGTCCCTGTGCGCGGTGTCGTTCCACGACGCTGTCGCAAATCTTAGCAGGCGCGGCACTTTCTCGACGCCAGAGGGGGTGCTCAGGGGGTGGTCCCTGAGCGCGGAGCCTATCCACGACGCTGTCGCAAAGCCTAGCATGCGTGGCTCGTTTTCAACGACAGAGGGGGTGCGCAGTGTCTATCCACGGCAGTGTCGCAAAGCCTAGCATGCGTTGCATTTTCTCGGCGCCAGGGGGGGTGCACACGGGGTGGTCCTTGTGCGCGGTGTCTATCCACGGCGCTGTCGCAAAGCTTAGCATGCGTGGCACGTTTTCAACGCCAGAGGGGGTGCGCATGGGGTGGTTCCTGAGCGCGGTATCCTTTCACGACACTGTCGCAAAGTTTAGCATGCGTTGCTCTTTCTCGACGCCAGAAGTGGATGCTCAGGGGCTGGTCCCTGAGCGCGGTGTCTATCCACGGCGTTGTCGCAAAACTTCGCAGGCGTGACACGTTTTCAACGCCAGAGGGGGTGCGCATGGGGTGGTCCCTGAGCGCGGTATCCTTTCACGACACTGTCGCAAAGTTTAGCATGCGTTGCTCTTTCTCGACGCCAGAAGTGGATGCTCAGGGGCTGGTCCCTGAGAGCGGTGTCTATCCACGGCGCTGTCGCAAAACTTCGCAGGCGTGGCACGTTTTTAACGACACAGGGGGTGCGCATGGAGTGGTCCCTGTGCGCTGTGTCTATCCACGGCGCTGTCGCAAAGCCATGCGTGGCACGTGTTCAACGCCAGAGGGGGTGCGCAGGGGGTTGTCCCTGAGCGCGGTGTCTATCCACGACTCTTTCGAGGCGGCGCCACCAACGGTATCGGCGACGCAACGACCACTTGCATCATTCTCGCAAGTTTCACGTCAGCTATCATCACGCCAGACAGGTTACAAGTATGTGGGTTCCTCGATAGCGTAATTCTCAACCATCTTGTGGTGTTCGGTCCTCGTTTTGACGGGACAGCGCTCTGCGTTCTCCTCTCCTCCTCCTCATCCCCTTTCTCCATCCTCCGCGTCTGTGTCCCTGCCCTCCGCGTGCATCTGTCCTGGCACACCCCTCATACGTTTCGTGGCCCCATATGGGGGCTCCACCGAAGGCTCCAGTGGGACAGTTTGCATACAGTTCCACCCCATGTCGGCGCACCCCTCACTGGCCCCGCAGGGAGCTACACCGAAGGCCCCAGAGGGAAAGTTCGCATGTAGTTCCACCTCCATTCTGGCGCATCCATCACTGTTCGTGGCCCCATGTGGGGCTCCACCGAAGGCCCCAGTGGGAAACCTCGCATGTTGTTCCAGCCCCGATTTCGGCGCACCCCTCACACGGTTCGTGCCCCCGTAGGGAGCTCCACCGAAGGCCCCAGCGGGACACCTCGCATGCAGTTCCAGCCCAGATTTCGGCACATCCCTGACGCGTACGGAGCTCCACCTAAGGCCCCAGTCAAACAAATCGCATGAAGTTCCACCCCATGTCGGCGTACCCCTCACACGGTTCGTGGCTCCCTAGGAAGCTCCACCGACGGCCTCAGCGGAAAAGTTCGCATGCAGTTCCACCCCCCATTTCGGCGCACCCCTCACACGTTTCGTGGTCCCATAGCGGGCTCCACCGAAGGTTCCAGTGTCGCATGCAGTTCCACCTCCATTTCGGCGCACCATTCACACAGTTCGTGGCCCCGCAGGGAGCTACACCGAAGGCCACGGTGGAACAATTCGCATGCAGTTCCGCCCCATGTCGGGGTACCCCCCGCACGGATCGTGACTCCCTAGAGAGCTCCACCGACGGCCTCAGCGGAAAAGTTCGCATGCAGTTCCACCTCCCATTTCGGCTTACCCCCCATACGTTTCGTGGCCCCATATCGGGGCTCCACCGAAGGCTCCAGTGGGACAGGTTGCATGCAGTTCCGCCCCATGTCGGCGCACCCCTCACGCGTTTCGTGGCCCCGTAGGGAGCTACACCGAAGGCCCCAGAGGGAAAGTTCGCATGCAGGTCCACTTCTATTTCGTCGCACCCCTCTCACGGTTCGTGGTCCCATAGGAACCTCCCCCGCAAGCCACAGTGGGTAAGTGCGCAAGCAGTTCCACACCCAATCTCGGCGAACCTTCACACGGTCCGTGGCCCGATAAGGAGCTCCACCGAAGGCCCCAGTTGCAGGGGTCGCATGCGGGTGCATCCCCGCGTCGGCTCACCTCTCATATGTTTCGTCGCCCTATCGGGAGCTTTACCGAAGACGATTCACCCCGTGGCGGCACTCACAGCTGCATATATGGTTGGGTCCTCCGCCAGGCTATTTTGTGAGGGAGTTCTCGGCCTCCATGGGCTCTCCCAAGGCCCTGAAACTGTGGAAGAGCAACTCCGGTGTTGCGGCCAGGACCCGTTTCCCTCAGGACCCGTGTTCTTCACGTCAATAGGCCTTTCATGGAGGGCAACGAAAATAGCACCAGAGCTTTTAAATGTACATTCTAGGAGCAGTGGGTATAGTGGGACAGTGGTTGGAACATTGGGGCCAGTGGGGACAGTGGTGAGGGCGGTTGTGAGGACGGTGGTGAGACAATGGGACAGTGGTACAGTGGGGACAGTGGCGGGGACTTTGGGGAAAGTGGGACAGTGGTGGGGACAGCGGGGGCAGTGGGACAGCACAGTGGGACAGCAGTGGGGACAGTGGGGAAAGTGGGACAGTGGTGGGGACAGTGGGGACAGTGGGACCGTGGTGGGGACAGTGGGGACAGTGGGGAGAGTGAGACCATGGTGAATGGTGGGGACAGTGGGGACAGTGGTGGGAACAGTGGGGGCAATGGCACCAGTGTTGAGGACAGTGGGGACAGTGGGACAGTGGTGGGGACGGTGGTGGTGGGGACAGTGGTGAGGGGACAGTGGGACACTGGTGGGGACAGCGGAGACAGTGGGACAATGGTGGGGACGGTGGTGGTGGGGACAGTGATGAGGGCGGTGGTGAGACCGGTGGTGGGACAATGGGGCAGTGGTACAGTGGGGACACTGGTGGGTACAGCGGAGACAGTGGGACATTGGTGGGAACAGTGGGGACAGCGGGACAGCACAGTGTGACAGCGGCGGGGACAGTGGGAACAGTGGGGCAGTGGTGGGGACAGTGAGGAGAGTGGGACTGTGAAGGGGACAGTGGTGGGGACAGTGGGGACACTGCGACAGTGGTGGGGGCACTGGTGGAGACAGTGGGGACAATGGTGGGAACAGTGGGGACAGTGGCACAGTGGTGGTTACAGTGGGGAACAGTGGGACAGTGGTGGGGACGGTGGTGGTGGGGACAGTAGTGCGGGCTGTGGTGAGAACAGTTGTGGGGACGGTTGGGGGGGACCCCTGGGCTCTGGAGGAAGAGAGGGGGGAATCTTCCACAGCAAGGCTGCGGTGGATCACGCTCCCTGGTTGATTGCGAGACGTCCGGTGCGACCTTCAGCGCAACCGCAACCGATAGCGAGATGTGAAGCGCACTCATGCAGTGACTGCTTTGGTTGATTGCGGTGGGTCCGGCCTAACTTATACCACAATACAGTAGTACGCCCACAGAGGCGGCGGACGATTTGATCGAATGGAGCTTGTCGGGTGCAACCCATGTCGCAAGTCATAACGCAACATGTGTGTTAGGCAGCGTGGGCCCAACACCGTACTGTATTGAACTGTGGAGGTGGAAGATCTGTTGAGTGAGCTAGGTAGCTAGGTGGAGTGAACTGTGTTGTGCAAGCTATGTGGTGTGAGCACTGCTGCGTAACTAGTCTGTGCGGCGTGGCATCTGTCGTGTAAGCTACGGTGTGCAGGCTGTGCGGAGCAAGCTCTGCGGTGTGAGCTACGTGGTGCAAGCTACGTTGCCCACCGCACGGG